TTGTTATTGTAGTCAAGTTTGGGACAGCTATCAGGAAATACACAAGTTATAATGAACTGTCGGAACAGTTTACCTAGTAGGGAGGTTAAGGCGAGGTCATGACTTTGGACATATAATAATAATAATAATAATCCTTGCATTTGATATAGCGCTTTTCACGTCGGGAGGACGTCCCAAAGCGCTTCACAGAACACACTGTAAAGTGAATTGACTGTATATTTGTGGGTGAACGCGGCAGCCAATGGCGCACAGCAATGTCCCACAAACAGTCGTAGATTGAAAATGACCAATTTATTATTGTTTGGTTTTGGAGGATTATTATTAGGCTCTGTGTGGAGTAAGGAAACTTGCCCAAGATTTCGCCCTCTGCCTGGAATTGAACTCAGGTCTCTCACTTGCAAAGCGAGTGCTCTAACCACTGAGCTACAGGACTCCAGGACATATTTCAGAAACCGCTTGATGATGTGATGGCAGTATTACATGAGGTTCTGAATAGATGAGATCCAATGGGTCAAAAGGCCTTCTCTTCATCCAAACTTTTCTTGTGATCTTGCGAGAGGAATGCACTAATAGGTTCTGTTTTTATGAGAAAAAGGACAATTAGTGGCTTCGACTGGCAGAAGCTGGACTGTTTGCCAAACGCACAAGATGATAATGTTAATCAGTTCGAAACATGTCATCCATTCCCATGTGCAGGACCTAATTGGAACAAAATTAACAAAAAGCCTCCTCTGGCTTGTCGTATTTGAGAGGCCAAAGCATTTCCTTTTAAAGGCTGGAACCTGTTGCTTAAATGCCAGTGATACAGTTATCATCCTGTGTCTTCAAATAGAAAAGATCCAACGGCGTGGAGAATTAATCGTTGTTAATGGTTGTAATAATTGTAGCTTTGACCAGTTTGATATTTAGTTATTTAGCTTCCTAGGTATCAGAGACATTTCTGTAAATTGCCCGTTTCTCCCATAAAATCTGCGATCAATTCACTTTACAGCATATTCTGCGAAGTGTTGTGATAAGGTGCTATATCAAATGCGAGGGTTATTATTATAACTATGGGTTGGGGTAAGATTGTGCCCCTTAATAAGATGAGTTCTGTTTTTTAAAAAAAACTGTCCTTTTAAATTTTGGTGGTCTTCAGTAAGGAAACTCTGCTTTATATAATCCATAGTTTGGGACATGGCATGTCAATTGATAGCTGGAATGATGGAAGGTGAACTAGATGGACCTTGGTCTTTATTTGCCAGCAAATTCTTATGTTCGTATGTTTTGAGCACCTCCCTTCCCACATTGCACTGCCTGAGATCAGGTCCTCAAATATCCGCAATAGTGGGTCCTGTCCTACTTCCCCGTTCTTCCCAATGCGAGCGGAGCAGTACTTTGTGGAGTCCTGTAGCTCAGTGGTTAGAGCACTCGCTTTGCAAGTGAGAGACCTGAGTTCAATTCCAGGCAGAGGGCGAAACCTTGGGCAAGTTTCCTTACTCCACACAGAGCCTAATAATAATCCCTCCAAAACCAAAAACAATAATAAATTGGTCATTTTCAATCTACGACTGTTTGTGGGACATTGCTGTGCGCAATTGGCTGCCGCGTTCGCCCACAAATATACAGTCAATTCACTTTACAGTGTGTTCTGTGAAGCGCTTTGGGACGTCCTCCCGACGTGAAAAGCGCTATATCAAATGCAAGGATTATTATTATTATTACATTACATTTCCCTGTTTGATTCTTGTGTAGAAACTTGTGTGATTGAGTGTGGCAGTGAGATTGGCGTTTTGGGTGCTTTTCACCGTGATTAAGTTATAACTTGGAGCCTGGTCACCTTGCTTTGGAGAGAAGGTTTAGAGTAGACACAGTATAAATGGATCCCCCCTTGACCCCTACAAAAACAAAGGGTGATTTTTCTTAACTGTTGTCAAACGACTGTTTTAATAAGTTAGCCTCTGATTTTGAAGTTCTTTGACGTAAAGGCAGAGACTTTCAATGTTGACCCTGGGTTTCAATGACAGCAACGTAGTGAGGAACAGGAAGTGCAAACCCAGCTTTCCAGTTTGTAGTGTTTCTCTGCTGGAGGTTATGTTATTCTCTGTGTTGTGCAAATTCCTTTGAGTGTCATGTGGTAAGAGCCTAATGAGAGGAAGCGGGTGCTGTGATCACTGGGTTTTTCCAATTTTGGGCAGGATAAATGAAATTCTCACAGGTTTGTTTGGCAAACTGGGAACCTGTCCACAGTGGGACGCCAAAGAGAGGAATGTAAGATTCCCTCGCTTGCTGGCTCGATCCAAAAAGAGAAGGGAGTTTCCCTCTCCCGGAGTCCTGGCTAGCAATCCCCCCAAAATAAAATTGGTCACTCACCCCACGGCTGATTGTGGGACGTTGCTGTCCTCAACTGGCTGCCGTGTATCGCTCACAATCTACACAGTGAAAAAAAACCTGGAGAGGTGGTTTAGAGACAGTATAAATTGATTCTTCCTTGACTCCCATAAAACAAGGGGTGATTTTTACCGGTTTCTGAGGAGTCCTGATTCCTCACCCGGTTCCATTAGTTTGGCAGCTTTACTCGGGGAGAGGAGGGTGGGAAGTGGGAACATTCACCGAGATGCAATTTTGGAGGTGTGGGTTTAGTCTGATCGAGTCCCGGACTTGAATTCCCAGTGCAGGACACAGACCATTATTATTAGTGAACTATGGCTTCACCTGCCCTGGCCGGGCAGTCTGTGTATGTACAGCAGTTATTGTATGGAAAGACTCTGGTCCAGTTTCTATTGACATGCAGTAAAATACACGCTCCAGGTGATGGGTTTCCGCTTGTGTCAGACACCCAGATGACCCTCCCTGCCCCCGCCATCCCCCCCCCCAAATATGTTCCAGAGCCAGGCGGGTCTGCAGTTACTCCAGGGCACTGTTGATAACAGCTCATCGACAGGGCAGCATTCTTTCCCCTCAGCTCCTGTTAACCCTGTCAGCCCTAGTCCTAATGGGTGGTGTGATCGTAGCTGGACAGGCAGTGGGAAACCTGATAAATAGTGCTCTCACTGACGAGCTGGTTGAACTCCAGAAGTACAACGAGGCCCCCAGACCTCGGGTCTCCCTAATCTGACCATAATACTCCCCGGAATTAGGTCAATGGGTTCCCTTTCTCAAGGGATTCTATTCCAGACCCAGAATTTTCCATTTGTAGCTGCCATGATATTTGGAACTCAGTCTGGTTTTGACACTCTTAATAATAATCCTCATAGTAATCCTTACATTTGATACAGCATATCGGGAGAACATCTCAAAGCGTTTCACAAGAGTATACAGTCATGGTGATGGGTTTCTGCTTGTGTTAGACAACCTGCTGACCAACACAGTAATTCAGTAAATGTTTAGAGTCACGAGGGCTCATTTGTTTGGTCAGAACCCATCACTCTGGGAATTAATCCTTTCTTTGTGCCCGGTTGTTATAGCTTTCCTCCCCCTCTCCATTACATAAAACCATTCATTGTGATTTTCTTTCAGTATTACCACCTGATCTTTGGAAGCATGATTTTATGGATACCTTGGAGCCACTATACACTGAACATCACACACTAGTATATTTCACTTAACAAAGAATTACTGTCGGCCATGGGTGCACTGGCTTGTATTGATTTACACATCATGTTACTGGGTTCATCAGTACAGTAGGTTGTTAGATGGTAAAGTACTGATTTTCAAGTACTGATTTTTACTCTTAGTGTGGCTTCAGCTACCTCAGATCTGGGTTTGATTTCCAGGCAAGGCGACACGATGGGCAAGTTTCCTTCCTCCACACGCCTCTGTTTACCAGCAGTAAGTAGGAACCTGGTTGTTAGTTGATTGGCGGATCGCTTTTCCGGGGGTAATAATCCCTTCAAAACAAAACCAAAAAATAATAATGAGGTCACTCAATCCCTGACTGTTTGTGGGGACGTTGCTGTGCGCGTTGCTGCCGCGTTTCGCCCACAAAATATACAGTCAATTCACTTTACAGTGTATCGTGAAGCGCTTTGAGACGTCTTGAAGACGTGATAAGGTGCTGTATCAAATGTAAGAATTATTAGTGAGAGTTCAAATCTCCACCTGATCAATGTCAAATGGCCAACAAGTGACTATCGTGGGGGGGGAGGGAGGGCATAAACAGTGTCTCTTTGGCTTCACGGTGATGTACTTGGCAGTGGAATATTGGAATCGAGTCAATTCTCTTTGGCGAATCTCGGTCCTCTGGTTCCTGAGCCAAGTGGGGCTGCAGTACTCTGGGGCTTTGCTGATGACTGACCAGCCAGTCTGCCTGGCTCATTAGCAGCACTTGGAAAACCAGACCAGACGCTGTGAGCAGGGGTACTTCCCACACTGTTAACACTGCAAGTCAAACCAATAACCGTTTTCATGTTTTTTGGTACCCACTGGGTTGTCCATCTCCCAGTGCTGGCCTTGTTCTGGAAGAACACTAAACAATCTGGCGTGTCTCTCGTTGGTTTTATTCCTTCCCTCCCTTTTGTAGGATTACTGTTGGGAACTTGCCCTTACTGCTCATGGCACATTACATTGGTAATGTAATTGGTACCATGTTATAATGGAATTTAATTAGAAATGATCATCAAGCCAGGTTGCTTCAATGATCTTGTCTTTTCAACTCTGTGGGTGTGTGTTTTTGTGTCATATGTTTGTGTGTGTTTAATTTGGTTCCTTCGCATTATCAGGCTCAGATATTCACTCCAAGTCTTGTTTTTCCTGATGACTACTCGACTCTACTATCCTTTTAACTGGGACACTGCTGTGCGCAATTGGTTGCCGCGTTTCGGCCACAAAATATACAGTCAATTCACTTTACAGTATATTCTGTGAAGCGCTTTTAGACGTCTATGATAAGGCGCTATATCAGATGCAAGGATTATTATTATTATTATAAGTGTCCTGCTGAAAATATTCCATCGGTGCCGACCATGATTCCTGTTAAAAGTATTGGAATGGTTTATTGAGTACCGTTTTTCTGTTAACAGGTAATAAATACATGGACCATCACTGAAGCTCTGGGAAGACAAGCTAATGTCCCGCTTCGCTGGCTTCACGTGTGCAGAAATGTCCAGACTGATGTTAGGGAAAACCTTGGAAAGGATATGCAAAGCTGTTCTCTTACTGTGTTTGGTGCACTTTCTGATCATGATGATCTTGTATCTGGATGTCTACACCCAGAGGTTTGACATTTTCAGCCGCTTCAATAATAGGAATTACTCAAAAATACATCAATACTTCAACAGTACGAAGCCCAATAGGACATTCCTTGGGGGTGAAGACCATTTAATGTCAAGCAGGAAGTTGGAAAGTAACCTTACAGTCACTGAAAAGCCTTTATCGATGTGCCCTGATGTCCCCCAGGGATTAGGTAGGATCCTAAATCAATTTGATTTTTTAAAACATATTCTGTGGTGGAAATGGATGGATAGTTGAATTGCTGATTTTATTTTGTAGTCGGTGGGGTCTTAAGTTGTATTATTTGTTGCAATATTTGCTAAATTTGTGGTGTTTTTGCTCACCGACCTGTTTTGGATATCACTGGTGACATATTTTCGAAAGCTAGAAGTTTCACAATTAACATTAAAATCCGGTTTGCAAATATCATAAGCCAGATTCCAATTTCCAACTGAGGTTGTGATTCTGTCATCAACAATCTGCTGACTTGTTTATACCATGAATTAATTCAGACAGAGTAACATGTCTGGTCCTACAGGGTAGTCACCATTTTGAACGCAAAATGGTTCTTCTTGTGTGGGATGTATCTGTCATTCCCGTTGATTGTTAGGAAGGTGAGATAATCCAGATAACTGTGCACAAGAATGTTCATTAGAAAATGTCCAGGCTGACCTCGCTAACCCTCCATGATCATTGCCAATCCCTCCAGTTATATAACAATCTGCATATCAAGTCAAAATGGCGGGGATGCTGAATAATAATAATAATAATCCTTGCATTTGATATAGCCGAGAACATCCCAAAGTGCTTCACAGAATATACTGTAAAGTGCAGTGACTGTATTTGTGCTGTTATTTGTTTGGTAGTCAATCGCAGGGGAGCTCAGCAGCCAATCACAGATTTCCTGTGAACCTCTTATAGGGAACACCCGGATATAGCGATCTTTTCCCCAAGTCCCCAGGGTGTTTGGGATACCTGGGTCAACCTGTACGTTAAGAAACATTTTTTTCCCCAAATGTCTTCTGGAGACGCTGACTGGGTTACACTGATGGTGCCACGGAACCTGCAGTCGCCCCCTTACCTTCCTCAAGCGGCTGTGCTCCATGTGTGCAGCTGGACAGTGACGTGCTTCCACAGTGTGGCTCTGTATGGGGTGCAGTGGATCAAGGTGTTTGCTTGTGGCAATGTCGGTGACGCTGTGATTCTAGATGTTCGTCAGGTCAGGAGATCAAGGGATTCGGGGCAAGGCCGGGTACTTGGAGTTGAGGTACAGATCAGCCGCGATCTTATAGAATGGCGGAACAGGCTCGAAGGGGCTGAATGGTCTTCTCCTGTTCCTATGATACGGATGTTTTGTGCTGACCACCGGATTTAATGTCAGGTGTGAAATGAGGTTGACGATCATTAAAAGTGACGGTTGAGCGAGCGAAAGTGTGGCTTCGTCCACATAAACACGATCTGCGAGACATCCGTTGATGAATTGAGAGGGGTGGAGCCACGCTGTTCCGCTGACAATCTCATCCATTGCTATTCATTTATGGTTTTTTTAATGAAAACTACGACGGCAAAGCGTAAGGATCTGTACGTGTTCAGTTTGGTTTTGATGGCCGGCAGCTGCAGTTCTAAGAGGAACTTTTTGCAGGACTCTGAACTGTTTGAAATCTCTCTAATGAGACGACGCTGCCAGGCAAGTGAATACTTGGTGCTTTGACCGAGGTTGACCTTCCCCTCGTGTCTGAATGAGTGCAGCTTCTTGTTGTCAAAAACAATTAGTGTGACCCCCTATTCCTGCTCCCCCCCCCCCCCCCCCACCACTTCATTCAATCAATGTTATTGTTGTTTACTTTTGAATTAATTTTGATACAAGTATTTTTTAATGGGTTTCACTCGTTACACACAACAATAATAATATAATGATGATCCTTGCATTTGATACAGCGCCTTAGCACATCGTTTAGATGTCTCAAAGCGCTTCACAGGATACTGTAAAGTAGAGTGATTGATTATATATATTTGTGGGCAAAACGAAGCCTAATTAGCAGAATTTTAATGACGTGGATCACTGGCAAAAGTTGCAATTAAAATTAAAATCCGACGTCCCTTTGAAACCTAGTTTAAGACTCAGAGAGTCTTCACAGCGCAATTCCAGCCGCATCTTTCTGTTACCCTTGAGTTATTTTTCTAGGTTAGAGATGGTTGGCTTTGTTATATAATAATAACAATAATAATAATAATAATAATCCTTGTATTTGATATCGCACTTTATCACGTCTTCAAGACGTGTCAAACCGCTTCACAGATTATACTGTAAAGCGAATTGACTGTATATTTTGTGGGCGAAAAAATGGGCCACAGTTGGTGCTCGGCTATTTATGGTATTCCAGGCGTCCTCCTGTTCATAAACTAGCAATGTTATTTCTATGTTGCTTGTCTTCTGATTGTTATCATAACTGTACCGAGATTAGTGAGAGAGTTGAAGCAAGAGAAACTCAGATGCTTTCGGGCTTCAGATTAGTGAGCTGTGAAGAAACCCCAAAGTAACTCAACATGTTCATATTGGAAGAAACAATCATTTAGAGGGACTTTTTAATTATGAAGGGATTTGGAGGGTGGATCCAAAGAGATGTTATGTAAAAAAACAAGAAAAATAGTAATGAAATGAGGCCATTCAGTCCATGGAGTCTCCTCCTTTCAACCAGACTCCTCTCCTATGGTTTGCTCTAATTTATTTCATCTTTGGAGGGATTCAAAAAACAGGAACACAGGAACAGGAGGAGGCCATTCAGCCCTTCAACCTGTTCTATAAGATCATGGCTGATCTGTACTTCAACTCCAATTACCCGCCCTTACCCCATATCCCTTGATGCCCTGACCTAACAAACATCTATCCACCTCAGTCTTTATATACACTATATAGTTAATCAAACACGCAATCAGTTTGGGAATGAGATTTGCAAACGTTTTAAGAAAAAAGAAACTGAATTAAATTGTACATGACACGCCGCCAACACAACGGTGAAATGTACAGCGTAGCACAGGGATAGCAAGGAGCCCACGGACCGTGTCCAAGACAGACAGTGAAGTGAGTAGCAGCTTTTACCGCCTGATCTGTTTCTCTTGACGGCTGAACAGCTCTGTGAAAAATTATCTGCCCTGTAAAGCAGGGGCTGCTTTCTCTTTAGTTTTCCTTTTAAAAAGGAACTGTTACAAAAATAGTTGCTTTAAGTGGTGAAAACTGATTACATTTTGTGTGGACAGATACGTCCCACACAAGGAGTATGTGTGTGGAGAGGGTGGGAGGGGGGGGGGTGAGGAGGGGTGGATTTGGGTGGGAGTAGGTATTATAATAATAATAATAATCCTTGCATTTGATATAGCTCTTTTCACGTCTTCTCAATGTCTCAAAGCGCTTCACAGAATATACTGTAAAGTGAATTGACTGTATATTTGTGGGCGAAACGCTGCAGCCAATTGCACACAGCAATGTCCCACACACACAAACAGTCGTGGATTGAAAATGACCAATTAATTATTGTTTTTGGTTTTGGAGGGATTATTATTAGGCTCTGTGTGGAGTAAGGAAACTTGCCCAAGGTTTCGCCCTCTGCCTGGAATTGAACTCGGGTCTCTCGCTTGCAAAGCGAGTGCTCTAACCACTGAGCTACAGGACTGCACGGACTCCACAGGACTTTCACTCCATGGAAAATAGCATTGAAAAAGAGATAATATTAATAAAGCGATTGGAGATGTCTCGAAGAGGTGATGAGGCGCTATATCAAATGCTAGGATTATCATTAAGGATTATTATTATAAGCAAAGATGTCGGAGATGGGGTTACAGACAGTAACATGGCAGTGATACAATAGGGATGGAAAGTGATTCAGATGCACTCAGAGCTGTCTGAATAAATTGTACAACGTACCTAATTTATCACCAAAAAAAAATCAATTGTGTGTAACAAATCCTGCATTCTTTGGGCAATGTTTGTTTCTAAACATTGTGAGACTTGCCTCATGAGTAGCCAATACATCAACATCCATGGCTTTTGTAAACATGCGGAAAAGATAGTCACTAGTAAAGTGAGGTGAATGTCACGTAGGATATTGTTTCTCTACTATATTCTAAAATTGCAATTAATACCTTCAATTTTAATATGACTGGAGGTGCAAAAGGGAAATTAGCACTTTTTATTGGAACCTAATTTTTAAAAAAAACATTTAGCATTGCTCTCTGGCTTTGATAGTGGTCCCAAACGAAACAACACTAATTAATGAAGAGAGAGAGAGAGAGAGAGGAAGCAAGAAGAATAACGTAATCCCATTAATCTGGTCTGGATTTAAACCGAGATCCCAGAGGTAAGAGGAGAGCATTCTAACCCAATGTGATAGCTGCTCTCCTAATGCAATAAACTGGAGACAAAATTCAAAATTATTTCAAAATTCTGAGGGGATTTGATCGGGTGAACAAGGAGCAACTATTTCCACTGGCGGGTGGGTCGGTAACCCGAGGACACCGATTTAAAACAGTTGTTAAGTGAAACAGAAGGGAGGGGAGGAGACATGTTTTCACACAGCGAGTTGTTGGGATCTGGAATGCACGGCCTGAAAGGCCGGTGTGAGCCGATTCTATAACAACTTCTAAGAGAGAAGCAGATAATTATTCGGGGAGGACACGTTTGCAGCTCTATGGGGAGAGAGCGAGGGAGTGGGGTTGATCAGGGCTATGGGGAGAGAGCGGGGGAGTGGGGTTGATCAGGGCTATGGGGAGAGAGTGGGGGAGTGGGGTTGATCAGGGCTATGGGGAGAGAGTGGGGGAGTGGGGTTGATCAGGGCTATGGGGAGAGAGCGGTGGAATGGGGTTGATCAGGGCTATGGGGGAGCGCTGGGGAGTGGGGTTGATTGGGGCTATGGGGAGAGAGCGGTGGAATGGGGTTGATCAGGGCTATGGGGGAGCGCTGGGGAGTGGGGTTGATTGGGGCTATGGGGATAGAGTGGGGTTGATCAGGGCTATGGGGAGAGAGTGGGGGAGTGGGGTTGATCAGGGCTATGGGGAGAGAGTGGGGGAGTGGGGTTGATCGGGCTATGGGGAGAGAGCGGGGGAGTGGGGTTGATCAGGACTATGGGGAGAGGGGGGGAGTGGGGTTGATCAGGGCTATGGGGAGAGAGTGGGGGAGTGGGGTTGATCGGGGCTATG